AAAAAAAAAAAGAAAAAAAAAAAAGAAAATTCTACGGAGAAATTAACCTGGTTCCTTGAACTAGTGAATGGCATGGAAAACATGGGGGTGGGGCAGCTAGGGAGAGGGGGTAAGCTGTTATAGATGAAGAGGAGACTTTAGGACCTGTACAAGTCAAACTGATCTTTGTGTAGATTTTAATTTTAAAAATCCACCCAAGTGTATTTTTGAGACAACTAGGGAAATTTGCTAAGGAATATTTAGTTTGTCAGAGGTGACAGTGGTAGTATAGTTATGTTATAAAACTTTTTGTCTGGTGAGTTACATACTGAAACATTTATGGTTGAATTCATACACGGGCTTGGATCTACTTTAAAATAGTCCAAGGAGGGAAAAACGGAGGGGGAGCAGCAATGAGAGAGCCAAGATCGGTAAATGTCGGTAATGTTGAAGTAGGTGACAGGTACAAGGGGGTTAAGTGTATGACTCTGCTTTTTTTTTAAGAGATACAGTTTCACTTTGTCTCCCTCAGTAGAGTGCTGTGACATCACAGCTCACAGCAACCTCCAGCTCTTGGGCTTAGGCAATTCTCTTGCCTCAGCCTCCTGTGTAGCTGGGACTACAGATGCCCGCTAGTTATTTTTTTGTTGTTGCAGTTTGGCCAGGGCTGGGTTTGAACCCACCATCCTCAGTATATGGGGCCAGTGCCCTACTCCGTGAGCCACAGGCATAGCCCGTATGACTCTGCTTTTATGAATGGTGATGGTTTCCATAATATAAAGTAGGAAAAAGTGTTAAAAAGATGACTGTGTGTGCAGTGCTGATTACTTTCATACATATTTGATTTAATTCTCAACAAAATGCTATTAAGTATTTTTGTCCCCTTTTTTCGTCTGAGAAAAATGGTTTGAGTCACTCAGAGTCTCTGAGTAGACACAGAATTCAAGCTGAGGCCTGTCTAACTCGAAAGCTTGTGTTTGTTACCTTCCCGTTAATATTTAGTAATGATTATGATAATCATTGTTCTTATCAGTGAGCTTGAAAAGTTAAAAGGTGACTCGTTCCAATCGTATTGCTTAACTGGTAACAGCTAACGATGATCAGAAAGTCCCTATGTGTTTTATAGGATAGCACTTCATTTCCTCCCACACGCCGTGATGAAGTCCCGGCTCCACTCAGGCTTAGTTGTGCTTTGGTTGCTCCTGGATTTCGGTGGCTTCCAACAGCTGAAGTTTAATTCTCATTCACTTTTCAGCCTTGGTGCTTTTCGCTGAGTCTTTGGCTAAAGGAACAGTCCCTGTGTGGGGTGGCAAAGGGAAAGAGAGAAAATAGGGGGGTGGCTCTCACAGGTTCTTCTCGGAAGCACGTCTGCCTCCATTCCATAAGCTAAATCAAGTTCATGGTCAAGCCTGACATCAACTGAGAGGGGGAAAGATAATCCCCTCACTGGAGGGGCAGTGAATGTTTGAGAACCATAATATAATTGACCACAATTGGTATCCTTATTTTACCGGTGAGGAAACTGAGGCATAGAGCTAGGCAAGGTGGGGGCTGAATATGACCCCAGGAAGACTGGGCAATGCAGGCTTATTGGTTATTTGGAAAATACTATTTTATTTCTACTTCTATCTTTATTTGTATTAAGAGAATTTATTCTGGGCGGCACCTGTGGTTCAATGAGTAGGCCCCAGCCAAACTGCAATGAAAAAATAGCCAGGCATTGTGGTGGGCGCCTGTAGTCACAGCTACTGAGGAGGCAGAGGCAGGAGAATCACCTAAGCTCAGGAGTTGGAGGTTGCTGTGAGCTGTGACACTACAGCACTCTACCAAGGACCACAAAGTGAGACTCTGTCTCAAAAAAAGAGACTTTATTCTATTCCATAGTCTGTTGATTTTTCACATAGCAAACATTATCAAGATGTAGTGTGCGTATAATTTCCTAGAATGAAGAAAACTTAAAAGGAATTTTTTTGTATTTTCTGTTGCTAGATGCTAAAATTAGTTGAAATAGTTGTCTTCTTTTCCTTTACTGCCATAAATTTGGTTTGGTGATTTCCCAAAAACATTTGCCCAAGGATTTCTGTTCTGTGTCTAGGCTGGCCACACATTAGGATTGAACATGGTCTTATCTAGAATAGAATGGGCTCAGGAGATACATCCCCTTCTTTACCACTTATTCGCTGTGTGATTGTGGACAAGAATTTTGAAAGCTCTAAGCTTCAAGACCTCACCGACAGGATGGGAATAGTGATAAATATCTTATTCAGATTGCTAGGAGTAAATGATTTAAATGTATTTAAAATGTCAAAGGAAACACCTAAAGTATGTTGGACACAAATAATGGTTACTATTTTTAATTTGAGTGGTTAGAAAAAAAATGATTTGAAGTCTTATTTTGAATGTTTAGATACTTTATACAGTCATTTTATTACATGGCTTTTAGATAACCTGTTTGAAGCATAATGAACTAAACTTAAGTCTATTTCAATTTTCTTTACAGGTTCAGACACAAAAAGGAGTGTTCATGAATTTATTAATGACCAGAGAGACAGATTTCTGCTTGAGGTAATAGAAATGATTTCTTTCTTTCCTTAGCCAAATGGAAGACTTCTTGAATAGCACTGGCTAATCATTTCCTTTGACAGTTTACTTTTCCATGTTATGCCCCAGATCCATTGGTGAAACAGACAGATTCGTTCATATATTCATTTCATTTGAAAAATATTTATTGAGTGTTTGCTATGTGCCAAGCACCAGGCCCTCGGAGAGCTGACCTTCTAGCATCCCAGACAGGGTTCCTTACTTCCTAGACTCCATCAGGAAACTTCTAGGAAATGTCTGATCCCAGTTTCTCCCTTTTTTCTTATTCTTTCCCCCACAATTAGGATAACACCTGAGAATCTCAATTTAATCCAGATTTTCCTGGTGCTTTGGTTGAATACGGCAGGAATCCATGCACTCTGAAAACCCAGGGAATTCTGAAATTCCAGCTTCCCTGACAACCATCGCTGCCAGAAGAGAGTGCCAGGTCCCTGTTAGCATCTTTTATAAAAACAATAGAGGCTTTTTATCCTACCACCAAAACTTTTAGCTAGAAGCCAGGCCTAGAGCTGAAAGCGTTAATGTCTCCACCTGCATACTCACTTCCCGTACACAAAACAGACACTAAGCACTTACCAGTGGGAGAGTGATTACAGAATGAATGTGCTGAACCTTATTTATACCTCTGCTGTCAATTATCTAATCATCTACAAAGGATCATCTTCTTGATTAAAGTCTTTGAAGGTGCTTGACTTTTCATAATATCATATCGCACCTAGCGGAGCATCCATCTAGTTAGTATTTTAATATGCAGCACCTGCAGTCAACAGAAAAGATCTCACTTAGAGTAACTGATAGAGTTGTAAATAGAACCTGATGCTTTTGTTCGTTAAATGTTATTCTTTGGGTGCAAGTTCAGCCTTTATTATAACATCTTGCTGACATCCGAGTTAGCTGAAAGGGTGCTGGACAGAGACACTAGGATTGGAAGACATTTGGATTAAATGTGCCTCATTCCCCTTCTTTACGAGACCCTCCCCCAACCAGTTTGGAGAAGTGTCCCAAAGCGATTTCATGGAGTCCATTTGTCAAAAAGACACATACAGTTGGCCGTCTGTATCCACAGGTTCCATGTCCATGGATACAATAAACTGTGGATCAAAAATAATACTATGATATACTACAAAAAAAATACAATAAGAAACAGTACAAGTTTTTAAAAGTACAACATGATACCTATTTGCATATCATCTAAATGGTATTAGGTATGCTAAGTAATCTAGAGACGATTTAAGGTATGTGGGAGGCTGAGCATCATGACAAGCAAATACTGTGTCATTTTAAGTAAGGGACATAAAATCCGCAAATTGGTTATCCTGGGCATCCTGGAACCAATTCTGTGTGGCCAATGAAGAATAGCTGTTTGTGGTAAAAACTTCAGCTTTGTCCAAAAATAGTCTGGCCTTTGCCCTTGACTTCTGGGAGGTAATTTGTGTCTTTCTTTAAGATCATAAGAGTGTCTGTCTTTAAGATAGAGCTGGTACATTCAACAGTCTTAGTATTTCTGGCCGGGTCAATTCCCACCCTAACAATGTGACCCAAGGACAGGTACAGTGTCTCATGCCTGTAATGCCAGCAATTCAGGAAGCTGAGGTGGGTGGCTTGCTTGAGCTCAGGAGGGAGAGACCAGCCTAAGAAAAAGCAAGGTCCCATCTCTAAAAATAGCCAGGCGTAGTGGTGGGCACCTATAGTCCCAGCTACCTGGGAGGCTGAATCACTTGAGCCCAATAGCTTGAGGTTACTGTGAGCTATGATGCTGTGGCATTCTACCAAGGGCAACAAAGTGAGACTCTGCCTCAAAAAATAGGGCAAAAAAATGACATCTGGATTGGAAAGAAAGGATTTAAACTATATTTACAGATAACATGATTATCTCTATAGAAAATCCTAAAAACTATTATAATGAACAAGCGAGTTTAGCAAGGTTTTAGTATACAAGGTAAATTTACAAAAAGCAATTGCATTTTTATAAACTTGTAATGAAAAATAAGAAATTACGATCTAAAAAGCAATGACTTATTCAACAGCATCAAAAATATTAAATACTTCTGGGTAAGTTTCTAAAATAGGTGCATAGATGTACACTGAAACTACAAAATATAGGCTTGGTACCTGTAGCTCAAGTGGCTAAGGCGCCAGCCACATACACCTAAGGTGGTGGGTTTGAATCCAGCCTGGGTCCGCCAAACAACAATGATGGCTGCAACCAAAAAAAATAGCCAGGCATTGTGGCAGGCGCCTATGGTCCCAGCTACTTGGGAGGCTGAGGCAGGAGACTTGCTTAAGCCCAGGAGTTGGAGGTTGCTGTGAGCTGTGATGCCACAACACTCTACCCAGGGGGACAGCTTGAGGCTCTGTCTCAAAAAAAACTACAAAATACAGCCAGGCATTGTGGTGGGTGCCTGTAGTCCCAGCTACTCGGGAGGCTGAGGCAAGAAAATCACCTAATCCCAAGAGCTGGAGGTTGCTGTGAGCTGTGACACCACGGCACTCTGAGGATGACAAAGTGAAGACTGTCTCTAAAAAAAAAAAAACACTACAAAATAATACTGAGAAAAATTACAGTCCTAAATAAGTGGGGAGGTATGCCATGTTGATTGACCTAAAGACCAGTGTTACTGAGATGTCAAGTTCTCTCCCTACTGGTGTATACGTTAAGTATAATCTCAATACCAATCCCAGTAGTCTGATGGAAATTGACAGGCAGATTCTACATTTTATATGGAAATGCAAAGGATCTAGTGTCCAAAACTATGAGGAACCTGAAACAGCACCCTGCTTGCAAGATAAGAAATTAGGCTGAGGCCAGGTATGGTGGTTCATGCCTGCAGTCCTAGCGCTTTGGAGGCCAAGGTAGAGTCTTAGCACTTTGAGGCCAACAGTTCCATGACCACCCTGGACAACATAGCAAGACCCTATCTCTACAAAAAAATAAAAAATTAGGTTTGGTGGCATATGCCTGTAGTTCTAGCCATTTGGGAGGTTGAGGCAGGAAGATCTCTTTAGTCCAGCAACTGGACATCACAGTGAGCTATGATCATGACAAGCACTCCAACCTGGGTGACAGAGTGAGATCCTGCTTTCAAAAAAAAAAAGTCTGTTGTTGTTCCATAGTTTGATAGAAGACACCAGACTCTTGAGTCAGAGATATGAAGAATAGTTTATTACTCACAGCCATTCAACTCCTGGGTATTTACCATTGGCCCCCACGGGAAGGCAGATGTATAGCCATAGAAATTTTATTTGAAGCTTCCCAAAACAGGGAAAACCCCAAGTGTCTCTGAACAAGTAAATGGGTAAACAAGTTGTGGAATAGCCACATATCTGATTACTACTCAGCAGTAAAAAGGAATTTGTTACGGGTATTAAGAACATGAGTGAATCTCTAAATAATTGTTAGGTTTAGAAGGTCAGACAGAAAAATAGTCCATACTGTGATTTATATAAAATTCTAGAAAATGGGAGCTAATCTAGAGTGGGTCAGTAGTTGCATGGGGAAAGATCTGGGTAGGAGAGAAGAAGGGATAGATTATCCAGGGCTTGAGTACATCTTTTAGGGTGATGAATACATTAACTATTTTTCACTGTGGCACTGATTTCCCAAGTGTATACATAGATCAAACTTAGCAAATTTTATACTTTAAACATGTGCAGGTTGTTGTATATGAATAATACCTCAGTTAAGCTGGAAAAAAAAGACAATAGTCCAGTAATTATGCTTCTTTTCTGATGTAAATTTTTCTCCTCTGCTGAATTATTTGCCATTAACATACAAACATCCTGGGTTTTTGTTTGTTTTGAGACAGAATCTTACTATGTCACCCTCAGTAGAGTGCTGTGCCATCACAGCTCACAGCAACCTCAAACTCCTGGGCAACTCTCCTGCCTCAGCCTCCCAGGCAGCTGGGACCACAGGTGCTGGCCACAACACCTGGCCATTTTTTGTTGCAGTTGTCATTATTGTTTAGCTGGCCTGGTCCAGGTTCAAACCCACCAGCATTGGTATATGTGGCTGGCCACCGGAACCACTGTGCTACGGGCGGTGGGCCCAAACATCCTGTTATCTAAAAATAACCTGCCTTGGCTCAGTGCCTGTAGCTTGAGTGGCTAAGGCGCCAGCCACATGCACCAGAGCTGGCAGGTTCAAACCTAACCCAGGCCTACCAAACAACAATGACAACTACAACCAAAAAAATAGCCGGGCATTGTGGCTGGCCTGTAGTGCCAGCTACTTGGGAGGCTGAGGCAAAAGAATGGCTTAAGCCTAGGAGTTGGAGATTGCTGTGAGTTGTGGTGCCACGGCGCTCTACCCAGGGTGACAGCTTGAGGCTCTATCTCAAAAAATAACCTGCCTTCCAAAAACCCTTCTTTAGCCCTCGTATTCTGCACCATCATCCGCCCCAGTTTTCTGCTCTCCTTTATAGCAAAGTTGGTCAAAGGCCTTATCCTCACTTTGGATCTCGGCTTCTTCTCTTTCTATTTTCCCCTAAGTTCTCCTCAGTCAGACTTGTGTCCTCATCATTCACCAAAACTACTTTTGTCCAAGTCACCAGTGGCCTTCCTCTTGCTAAACCGAATGGTCCGTCCTCCTTTAACTTGGTCCTTCAGCAGCAGTCGGCCCCCTGATCACCACTGTCCCTTCGTTCCTGCCCCTCCTGCCACTACTTCCTCCTAGAATTCTATTAGATTATTCCTCTTCTTCTCCCTGACCCACCAGCACTGGAAGGCTCCAGGGCCCTCCTCACCCTGAGCTCTGCCTACCCTCCTCCTGGCTCAGGTCTTTAAATCCCACCTTCATTTTAACAGCCTCCCATTTTATTTCTCTAGCCTGATCCTTTTCCCTGGACTCCAGACAAATACAAGTGTAATTCTTAACATCTCCACCGAGATGTGCAATGGGCATTCCAGGCTTCACATTTTCCAGACGGCCCCTGCTCTACTCTCGTCTAGCCCCGTAAATCTGCATCTCATGAAATAGCCCCTGTCTCACTAAATAGAAATTTCTTTTTCTAGTTGTTTCGGCCGAAAATATCAGTGTTATCCTTGACTCCTTTTCACAACCCACATCCGATTATACTTTCAAATATACTTTTCCAGAACACATCTCCAACTGGACTACACTCCATGACCTCCGCTGCCACCGCTGCTGTCCAAGCCCGGGTATCTCTAGCATGAACTATTGTTTTAACTTCTAGCCACCGGTCTCTTGCTTCTGCTTCTGCTGCCCTGCAGTCAGCCTATTCTCCCCTCGGTAGTAGAATCATGCCCTCCTCTGCTGAAGGCCTCTAGTGATGCACTCCGTTCCCCAGCTCACTCTCTCGGACCTCCCTCCTACCAGTCTTCCTCGTGGGGAGTCAGTTGTGATCTTGAAAGATGTGACCCTGAATGTTGAACTCCTGAAATATCGAATCCTGAAAAAGTAATTCTAGAAAAAAATATATTTTTAAGAGACAGAGTTCACTATGTCACCCTCAGTAGAGTGCTATGTTGTCACAGCTCACAGCTCTTGGGCTTAGGCGATTCTCTTGCCTCAGCCTCCCGAGTAACTGGGACTACAGGTGCCCACCACAACACCTGGCTATTTTTTTTTGTTGCAGTTTGGCCAGGGCTGGGTTCAAACTTGCCACCCTTGGTATATGGGGCCAGCACCCTACTCACTAAGCCACAGGCACTGCCCTTAAAAAAAATAATTTTTCTAGAAAAATTATTTCTAAAAAATTTTAAAAATTATTTAAAAGACCTTTCTTTACATTTTAAAAAGGGGACTCATTTGAGAAATACACAAAACATTTCACAAGCCACTTTATGTAATAAAATAGACAATAATAACATATTTTTGCAAGCATAAACATCGGGTATTCTAATGACAGTCTCATGGGTAACCAGTTATGACGAGCCATATGCATCAAGAAATAGGTCCAAGGCAAAATGTGGAACTGTGTTAACAGTATGGTCACAGCTTTAGAACTGTGCTCATAAAACAAACTTTATAGGTTACACATTGAAATTCATTTTCAGAAAACTTGATCGCACCTAGTTTCAAATCTGTCATCATGGTTTGGAGAGTCAATCAAAATCCCTTTTCTTCTACATAAAGACAACAGCAATACTTCCAAACATAATGACCCTGCCCTGTGATTTTTAGGGACCTAGACTCCAGGCATTTTGATCTTTTGAGATTTCAGTGTTCGGGATGATGTCACCCCGGACTTTCAGGGTATGACTGGGTTGTTCACTCTGCTCCTGCCACACGGGCCTCTTGCTGTCCCTGGGACATCAATCTGCATCTTACCTCAGGGCCTTTGCACTGGAGGCTCTTCCTTCTAGGAGGAGCAATCTTCCATCATGATAGCTCTGTTCTCTCTTCCAGTTTCTGTTTAACTTTCCTTTCTCCCTCTCTCTCTCCCTCCCTCCCTTCTTTCCCTTCCTTCCTCCTCTTCCCTTCTTTCCTTCTCTCTCTTTTTTGGGGGTCTTGCTCTTGCTCTGGCTGGTCTCCAACTCCTGAGCTGAGGCAGTCCACCTGCCTCAGCCTCCCAGAGTGCTAGAATTACGGGCATGAGCTGCCACGCCCTGCCTGTTTCTGTTTAATTTTTATCCCATCAGGGAGACCTTGGCTATTCTATACATAATAGCAACCCCCTGCCCTTGCCCATGACTGCCCCATTCCTTTTTTATCAGCTCTCCCCAGACTAGAATAGACACTCCATAAAACCGTTTTGTCTTATGTTGTTCACCACTCTATTCACATCCCTGAAAACAGTCCTGGCATACAGTAGGCACTCAGTACATAGTCAGTGAATAAAACAATGAATGGAACATTTTTTATTATTAACTTGGAGGTTCTAATTATTGGGTTTTTTTTTTTTTTACAATTATCTCTTTCCATATTTTAAATTCATTTCTCTTACAATGTATGTGACTTGACTCGGCGCCTATAGCTCAAACTGCTAAGGCGCCAGCCACGTACACCTAAGGTGGTGGGTTCGAATCCCCAGCCCGGACCCACCAAACAACGACGGCTGCAACCAAAAAATAGC